TTTTTTTTTTTTTTTCAAATAGCGCACGCAAGGTACGCTATTGCGTAAATAGCGTACGTTTTCGCGAAAAAAGCGTGCTACGTCATAAAAAACGCACGCTATTTTGGAACTGCGCTAAATTATATGCGCTATGGCGCGTTTTTGATGAAATTTGCGCTATTGCGCGCGATATAGCGCGCTAAAATGCGCTATTTAAAACACTGGTTCTGATTACAATTAAGTGAAATGAAATTAGTCAATCACATTCACTACATAGTGTTGGCAAACACATCACTTTTTCATGGACCACATTAGTGAATTATATATTAATTCACAAAACATTTTATTGGCTTCCTTCGCATTTTGAGATGGTTCGATTAATAGTTATCGATTTTTTTCCCCTTAGAATAAACAAATATTGTTGGAGTATCACTCGTGAGTTGTTCCATATTGATTTTATAGGAAAAATGAGCTTAGTATATAAGTTCATCACCAATTAGTTTTGGGATGGAATTTTACTAAGGTGCATTTTGGCTCACCTTCTTATGGTGCGCTTAATATACGTGGTACCGCACCTCTAACCTCTAACCTTCTTAGATGGAATGGAATGGTGGTTTTCCTTTGAGATTTGTAGCATCTCCCTAAAAACAATAAAAAAACCGGTGAGCACAAGTTTAAACGAATTCTCATTTTCAATAAAAATTATAGTGGAACAAAATATGAGGCGAGTTTTAATCGCATGAAACAGAGAAGAACAAGTCGCGTCGGCTAACTGACGCTTTTAGTTTAAAAATTAGTTAATGCGCTTACGTCTCGTCTTCTCCGCGTAGCTAATAAACACCAGACACAAGCGGCGCACTCCATCAAAACACCACCGTCAGCCTCGCCGTCTTCTCTCTCTCTCTCTCTCTCTCTCTCTCTCTCTCTCTCTCTCTCTCTGTCCATCGCCAACCCTCATCGGATCTGCTCAATCCCATCTCTTCATTCAATCCATCATTCAATAATTCAGCTCCAGTAATAAATTCCTCCACCTGTGACCATGGATCTGGCGGCGGAAGAGCTTCAATTCCTGAGCATGGCCGACATCCTCAAGGAGTCGATTTCAATCCCCAAACAATCCCCCAAGACCTTCTACCTCATAACCCTAACCCTAATTTTCCCCCTTTCCTTCGCCATCTTGGCTCACTCGCTTTTCACCCACCCTATCCTCGCCCAGCTCCAGTCCGAAGCCACCGCCTCCTCCTCCGCCATCTGGTCCAAGCTCCTGATCTTTCAGTTCTGCTACCTCATCTTTCTCTTCGCCTTCTCTCTCCTCTCCACCGCCGCCGTCGTCTTCACCGTCGCCTCGCTCTACACCGCCAAGCCCGTCTCCTTCTCTTCCACCATAGCCGCCATCCCAAGCGTGTTCCGCCGTCTGTTCATCACCTTCATATGGGTCTCGTTGCTGATGGTGGTCTACAACGTCGTCTTCCTCGGGTTCCTTGTCCTCTTCATCATAGCCGTGGACTTGCAGAGTGTTTCCTTGTTTATATTCTCTGCCGTGGTGATTTTCATTCTTTTTCTGGGTGTGCACGTCTATATAAGCGCTTTGTGGCATCTCGCGAGTGTGGTGTCTGTTCTCGAGCCCATTTACGGGTTTGCTGCTATGAAGAAGAGCTATGAGCTGTTGAAGGGGAAGGCCCGAGTGGGATTCTCGTTAGTGTTCGTGTACTTGGCTGCTTGTGGAGTGATCAATGGATTTTTCGGGTCGATTGTGGTGCATGGAGGGGATGATTATGGGGTTTTCTCGAGGATTGTGGTTGGTGGATTTCTTGTTGGTGTGTTGGTAATTGTGAATCTGATTGGTTTTCTTGTGCAGAGCGTGTTTTACTATGTCTGCAAGAGCTATCATCATCAGAATATCGATAAGAGTGCACTTTACGATCATCTGGGCGGGTACCTCGGGGAATATGTGCCTCTTAAGAGCAGCATTCAGATGGAAAACTTGGATGCATGATAACACGGCAAATGTTCTATCGTTGGTAAGTGTTCTTACTTTGATGGAAAGATGTAAATTGGGGAACATTAATATTGTGAGGGGATGCATCTTTTTGTTGTTATGGAAACTGGGTTTGTCCTTAAATCTTATTTCTTGCTGTTGTTGTTCTTGTTGTTATTTATGTTCATTGATGCCAAATGATCCCTTGCTTTATGTTATAATCTGTCTGTGCATGGATTGATGCCTTTTGTTTTTGGCTCTAACGTCTGCTTTAGTGTTTGGCTAAAGTTTTGAGCTTATAGCGTCTTCACTTAGTCTGCTAATCGGACAACTATTGTTAGAAGAAGGACACGAATGATCATGCATTGTGGTAAAGTTACCTGAGTTTGGTTGTCCAAGTTACTTGCAGAGAGGATAGGCTATGATGACCGTGGATTATTTCCCTTTTTTTAGTGGCAATCCATTTTGTTAGCTAAATGGTAATTACCCCATTACACATGTTGATAAGATTCAACTTTTTTTTTTTTTTTT